TTAATAGATAACAGATGAAAAAGCACATTTTTTTAAATATAAACATATTATATTTAACACTTTCAAGACTGTGGTACAAGGGTTGTACTACCTAGTTTTCCGCTGCGAAAAACATTTCATTTACATTTAAGTATTAAACATTACCATACATAGAGGTCATGGAGTGCTCTAACGGTCATGTTATACATATCTTTTCGTGGTACTGTATGTATTCTTATGAGACACTCATTTTTGTTCTATAGCCGTACAATGACATCATTGTTTTTCCTTTCTTCCTCTGACATGTGATCTTACGAGAATGCTTGAGAGGATTCTCACTCTCTGTTATTCTTGTATATATACTGTTCTTTGAGAAGAAGGCAAAATACTTCTATATTTCAATTATTTATTCTATTTGTAATTGAAATTTCACTGATGGAATCCTTCAAAAACAATAAAGTCGGCGACAGCTCACGTGACTCACTTACCACTGAAATCAGCGACGAGAGTGACTTCGATTCGACTATCGTGAATTAGCAGATGATTTGGATGAAATTCAGATATCAAATGAGGCTGGGTGTGAATGCGGGTGTGGGTGTGGCTGTGGCTGTGGGGTGTGGGTGTGGGTGTGGGCGAACGCGAACAGTTACCACACCTACATCCAATACCCACATTTACACCCACACCCTTACCCTCACCCACACCACACACCCCACGCCCACACTCACACCCTCTCTCGGATTATTGTTTCAAAAGATTGGATTTTAACGAAAGATGATGCCTTCATTGAATTGTGCAGCGTCTGGTTTACGATATTTGTGTAGATTTTTCCTTTGAACTATTCTTGGTCGAAGCTTTCAAAACTATACAACTTGTTAGGACTTCTGATCGTCTGTCATGATCTCCGAAAGAAATACGGGTATGATTAGGTGCCCACGTGTAAGTGGCAGCGAGGCACGGACGCACAGGATAATATATGCCGAGGATCACACCTGATGGGGATGGTGCGAAATTTTTATCATGCGATAAGACATACGCACAGTATTACATCTTGAATTCGAAGTTCCCATTGCTATTTTGCGTCTCAGTGTGACTATGTCGGTGCGTTTTCGTAATGCATAGTCTTGTGGACGTCGGATATTCAGCTGCCTGTGCCTGAATATATCTTCTTGGCAACTATATATAAATGTTAAAGGATAGAAAGGAGTATATGTAACTATACAATACTAAATTTTTACCTCCTTTGACGTTCGATGATTTAATATCATTCAGAAAAATAAATGATATGCTTCATTCGGGAATCGAACCCATGATATGATAACTGATTATCCGGATCAGTACTCTAACCATTGAGCTATCGAAGCACGAATAACATATCATTCATTTTTCTGAATGATATTAAATCGTCGAAATTTTAACGTCGACACGATGTATACGACGCACCTGGATATAGCGACGCTATTCGTAACCAAGTGAAAGTGATGGTGAATTTTATTCTTCTCTTATCAGAAGGTAAATATATATAAATATTAAAGAATAGAAAGGAGTGTATGTAACTATACAATACTGAATTTTTACTTCTTTTTGACTTTCGATGATTTCAAATGATTCAGAAAAATAAATGATATTTTAGTCGTGTTTCGATAGCTTAATGGTTAGAGCACTGGTCCCGATAACCAATTATCATATCATCAGTTCGATTCCCAAACAACGCATATCATTTATTTTTCTGAATCATATTTATCATCGAAAGTCAAAGGAAATAAAATTCAGTATTATATAATTAGTCACATATACTCCTTTCTATTCTTTAACATTTATATAAATAGTTTGATTATAGTTAAAAATTTGTAACCTTTGCTTAAATTAGCGAAAGCATCAATGGCTAACGATGATTCCGTTGAATGGTATACAGCTGAATGTGGTACATCACAATTTACGTTACCAAGACGATATCAACAATTGAGACCGATTGGACAAGGAACATTCGGTACTGTCATGTAAGTTATTATATTTAATACATAAATAAATATATATATATATATACTGTTTAGTCGTGCTATTGATACAGTATGTATTCTTTATTCGAATAGAAAGTTTAAAAATAAATAAATTAAAATCATTGATTAGGTAACTAACAAAGATGTAGCTATTAAAAAAGTGCTTCGTCCATTTCAAAATGAAACACATGCTAAACGAACATATAGAGAGTTTAAATTACTTATGCATCTTAATCATCGTGATGCACAAGTTTGTTTACTATTTATTTAAATCATATATATATTGATGTTCTTTTTCAAAAATAAATCTAGGTTGTACAATTGTATAATGTATTTACACCCGAAAAAGATGTTAATGAGTTTCAAACATTGTATGTTTTCTTGCATCTATTTAGACTTTTTATAAAAATTTTTTATCTTAAAGATATTTTGTATTTAATTTTGTTGATTATGATTTAAGTAAAGTAATGAAACGTGGAAAACCATTTACAGAAGATCATATTAAATTATTAATTTATTCACTTCTTCGTGGTTTAAAATTTATTCATTCAGCTGGTATTATTCATCGGGTACGATTACATTTTTATTTCAAATTTTTTTATTATATTTATTTATTATTATTCAGGCTTTAAACCCAACTAATATTGGAATACATCAAAATTCTGAACTTACAGTAAGTTTTAATTACAGATATATCATTGTGTAAATATCAGGTTTTTCGCTATTGTATTCCGTCTGTACTTTTCTGTCATTCTTTTACTTCACCTAATATTATTCTTGTTTCATTCGATAATATATTATGATGGGAAATAACCTAACCATGTCAAATTATCAACGATATTAATTACAACTATAATCAATAGGTTGAATCTTTCTTTTGTGTTTAAATCAATCAAAAAGAGAATTTTCTCGATTTTCGTTCAGAAAGAAAAACAATAAAAAATTTCGAATATTTTTGAACAGAAAAGAGACAGACATTGTTCGCTATAGAACTAATTAACGTATATTAGTATAAATAAATATAGAAATTTATTGTGATAATAATTATAAAAAATGTCAAATTAATGTTTTATGATTAACAGTGATATATATATATATAGAATATTTCTCTTGAATAGAAAAGTTTCCAAAGATGAATTAAAGATAGATAAGAACTAAATGATAAGACTGAATATAAAATCTTAATGAAATAAAAACATCTGAACAAAAATCAATATTTTAAAAACAGTTTATATATACATGTGTTTTTCTTTGAATAGATTCTTGATTTTGGTCTAGCACGTGTTGCAGTAAATGATCTTCAAACAGGTTACATTGCACCAAGGTAAGAATAACAATAATATTTAATTTAAATTAAAAACAAAAACACTAGATATTGGTGTGCACCTGAAGCAATTATTAATTGGGGACGTTATGATGAAAAAGTTGATATATGGTCTGTTGGTTGTATAATGAGTGAATTAATTCTTCTTAGACCACTTTTTCGTGGAACAAATCATATAGATCAATTAACTAAAATACTTGATGTTGTTGGTACCCCAGATTTAGCTACATTAGATGAAGTTTGTGAACCACGTATGTTACTTTTATCGTTTTTTTTTTATTTTTTTTAAATATGCTTATTATAAATAGATGCAAGAGATTATATTCTTAGATTGCCACCAAAACTAAAACAAGATTATCAAACATTATTTGGTTATAAATATAAAGCTGAATCTCAAACACCAGTATCTGGTGTATCACCCCAAGGTATTGCATTACTTGATCGGCTTTTATTATTTGATCATCGTACACGACCAACAGCAGAAGAAGCTTTAGGTAAGAATTTTATTTAAAATATTTTATTTTAATAATAAATAAATAAATAATTTATAGCTGATCTATATTTTGAACGTTTACATGATTCTACGAAAGAACCATTAGCAGAAGTTTTAATTGATGAACATCAAGATGCAACCTATCCAATAGCTACATGGAAATGTAAGTTAAGATTTTACTTAAATAATTCTTCCTTCAACTTAAAGGTCAACATATTGTTTTAAATGATATGGTCTGAGCAGCACACGAAGGATAAATAAATAAATAAATATATATATCGAATATTATTTCTTCTGATAGAATTTTCATATTCTATTCAATACTAATCATTGGAGCAATTTTTTATTTTTCCTTTTTTTATAAAGAAAAAGAAATCATTTTGAATATAAATCAAAGATTATTTTTAATAAAAAAACGATAATTTAAAATCTAATGAATACCATTCCTCTGTTTATACTTATATGTATTTAACAGATATCAATTGTTCATATAAAATAAACATTTTTTTTTAATTAATTTTTATTTTTGTTTTATTTTAGCCATTTTATGGAAAATGATCGAAAATTTTCAACCACCGCCATGGGCCAGTTAACATGTTGATGATGATATTTAAATAAAAGAAAGATTAAATTGAAATTAGTATAGGCCAATTTTTGTCAATATTATTATGTATTTTTTCTTTTTCTCTTTGTTATGTTATCTGTTTGAAAAGACATTATTCTTTTGCGTACTTTTGCCAGTATATCATATACCGGAGTCTTGTGTATTATTTTTATACATATCTACATTTGTTTGTCTGTTTATTGTGTTCTATTTCATTTGTCTAAGCCACGAAAAATGCTTCTTTTATATCATTAACTGTTTTACACACCGATTTACAAACACAGTGGCGATCAAAATGATTCGAGAGTACACAAAGTTTTCTTGTATTCTTTGTAGGGTGTGGATGATAGAAAAGCCGTACTCGCTCCATATTCACACCCTTTAGGAAGAATTCCATAGAATCCTGGAGAATCTAGAGAATGCTTGGAAGTTCTGAAGAACCTTCGAAATCCTAAAGAATTCTTGAGATTCAGAGGAATTCAAGGTTTAAGAATGTCGTGATTTTCCTCTTGGAGAGACTAAAATAGGATTTGTTACAGATAGAAACTTAATAGGGTGTGGGTGTGGGTGTGGGTGTGGGGTGTGGGTGTGGGTGTGGGTGGGGTGTGGATGTGGGTGTGGGTGGGGTGTGGTTGTGGGTGTGGGTGTGGGTGTGGGTGTGGGTGGGGGGG